GGCCTACTGTCCTGACTGGCTTTGTTATGTTGGTACAGCCTGCACCGTGTCAGCAGGATTACGGCCCGGTCCAGTCGCAGCGGGGCATCGCTTTAGGTCGGGAAAGAAAATATTGAAAGGTGTTTTTGGCAGATCGTTGTTTTAATCACAATCATTTCCTGTGAGAATATCCAAAAACAACATGCTAGTTCCTCTCATGGAGCTTCCTGACTCCCCCACCCTGACATCTATTTTTAGGTGTTTTATTTTTATTAACACAGTGAAGCTGTTCAGCACCTACAAGGTTTCCTCTTGAGGAACATACTTTCAGGGAAGCTCAACACAGCCAACAAAAGCTAAAACCCCGGCAGAGATGATGGTTGCTTATCAGTTGTTTTTCAGTTCCTTCTGACAGCTTTTTGTTTTCTAGGTAATGGCATCGCGCCTGTCATGGCTGACTCGTCACCCATAGCGCCCTCTGTGTCGCCCAAGCTGCATGCAAAGCCAGCTGGCCATGCTAATGGCCGGCCCCGCTTGGGCAGCCGGTCTGGCTCGCTAGCGATGGGCTCCCCCAGGCCCTCGCTCACCCGCCAGCCCAGCGCCATCACAGAGGCCGCTGTGGATGGGTCCAAGCCGAGGGACTACCTGATCCTCGCCATCTTATCCTGCTTCTGCCCAATGTGGCCCATCAACATCGTGGCCCTCACCTTCTCTGTGATGGTACGACTTCTGACAACAGTATCATTTAAACCTCTCAGTTAACAGCAGCTCAGACAAATTTATAAGTCACAACCAAAAACTTTTTAATCTTTAAGGACAACAGAGCTGACAACTCCAAAAACAAAAGAATCTATTTTACATGTTAGTAACCAAGACAAAAGAGCTGAAATGGGTTTTTCCAAGAAGAACTCGGGCTGTAGAAAGAACCAGCGAATGATAAATGAGGAATATATTTTAGCTGAGAGCCTGGAAAGTTCTTTGGTGATGTCCCACAATAGAAATATGGAGCTGCAGGCAGAAACACATTTATATAACATTTAAATTGTCAGTATCAAGTCGTTTGCTGTCTAATCTGCTGATTTTTTTTCTTCTTTTTATCTGTAACTATGATGCTGTCTTGTTGTCCCAACCCAATCATATCATTATTTTACGATGTTGAGTGACCGTTTATTGCTTGTTTTCTTTGCTCTCTGCTTCCCTTCAGTCCCGAAACAGTCTGCAGCAAGGCAACGTTGACGGTGCTCGCCGTTTGGGCCGTAACGCCATGGTGCTGTCTGTTGTCTCCATTTTAGGAGGGATTGCCATCATCACAGCGGCCATCGTCCTGAACTGGGGATGTAAGTCTCACGATTCAGTCATTTTCTCCGCAAAAGCGACCTAAAGTTGACTCTACAAGCTTTTCTCGAATGTTCAGGATCATTAAAAATGTAAAACCAGCTTAAATCTGTGTGAATTTAATCTTTATCTCTCTCCAGTGATATTAAAATCTTGATTCAAACCCACCGGCACGGCGAGACTGACTTCATGACAACATCGAACCCGACACGACACCATTTCCTCCCGTTCCTGAAGCACTATCGTTGTCGAGCGCCTGCACCAGATGTAAAACGAATAAAAACCAGTTTCTGTTCTTTGCTGTTGTTTCTTGCTGCACGACAAGCATGGTCTGCCTGACGCTCTACCTCTGACACGACCGACAAACCTAATCCTGACGCCTGACACCTGATCTGGAGAAAAGGATGGATCACCAGATGCTCATTTCATTCTGTGGCAGCAGCTTATCTCCTCCTCAGACGCCACAATTACAAGAGGAAATGGACATCCTGGGAAATGGGATTATTCAGATTCCTAATGGTCCCTAATGGTGCGAACTGGGGGACCTGGTTTGTTGGGTTTGATGCCAAAAATTTAGAAACGCAGTCTCAGCTGAACTGAAACGGGGAGAAGCTGCTGCAGTGATAGTTTAACTCAAACTGAGGAGGAACTCTAAAAGTCTTTGAACTGTGACGGCAGGAGAGAGAGGGATCTTTGTGTCAGCACAGAGATGGACTTCCTCTGTTTCACTGTCTTTGTGAAAAAAACCGGAGGCATGATTCTGATGTTTACTCTGCATATTCATGATAAATGTCCCCGGAGCTGCTAAACATTCATCATGTTCCATCCAAGGTTTTCAGAGACCGTGAACTGACCACAGGCGCTCAGACTGCTGGCTGTTAGCCGTGCTCGTCTCACTGTAAGCGATTCTGAGTTAGTAATTAATGAATTATTCTCCCTGACCACAGCCTTTGGCTCTAAGTGGATGTAAAGTGATGGAACGTTTCACATTATTCCTGATGTTCTCCAGGACTTCTATTAATTTGGGTGGTTGAGGTTACTTTTGGACTCCCTCTGAGTGCTCACAGCATGTGAGATGGATCAATTCTTCTTTTCTCTCTGGCCTTTCAGTGTCAGTCTTTTACTTTAGTCTAGCATTCACAGCTGCTGCCCGCTTCCCTTTCTGTTAAGTGTTTTACTGCAGATACAAGAAGAACTTCCTCAACAACTTCCTGTATGAAGTTCTTTCTCAGTCTTCACTCAATAGCCTAAAATCATAATTCGGAAATATCTTTGTTTGCCAGTGTAACCCTCATGTTGGTAACAACCTTGGAAGGAGTTTGTTCATAGTTTTAGGAAGTGTTGGATCAGGTACTCACTCTTTGCTGTGACAGTGGATGAACATAGTTCTTACAGCTACACAAGAACTGTGACAGCCGTGATCTTTGAATGGTGCAAGGTTATAAGCTAGGCTTGTTTAGCGTATGTCTGAATTGCAGTGCTAACCTTAAACTTAGGTAGTTCGACCTGGTGGCTGTTAACCCTCTGAGTTCTATCTTTAAATCTAACGCTATCAGAATATGTAATATTCCTTTAAATTATTCTCTTTTAAACTATTCTCCTGGCAGGGGATGATAACATTTCAAAACTATTTACATTTCTTCTCAAAAAGTCCTTTTGGCTTTTCTGAAAAACACGGAGTTAGGGTTAGTGATGTGCAATACCACTGATTTCCTTTCCGATCCGATACCAAGTAATATTCAGGGTGGTATCGACGATACTGAGCCGATACTTTGTACAAAAACGTATTTTATTTATTGTATCTCAAATTATAGCGTCATAATGATTACAGGACATCAGATTACTTGTTCTTATCACTTAATAATGCAGAGCTCATCATATAGAAATAAAAAAACGAAAGTAGGGCTATTTGAACACGTTGCCTGCCTGCAGCACTAAAGGACTCCGTGAGAGACGTCTGTCTCGCCCTAGCAGCACCTGTCCCTGTCCTCCTCTTCAGTTCGCCTCAACAGACGCTCCTCATATCCTGTGATATGATTTACTCTGAGGTGTTTGACAAGGTTAGTGATGTTGCCACAACCATACATGCCAACCCTCCCGATTTTTCCGGGAGAATACCGAATTTCAGTGCCCCTCCCAAAAATCTCCCGGAGCCACCATTCTCCCAAATTTCTCCCGATTTTCCACCCGGACAACAAAATTGAAAAACCATATCCCAGAATTCATTCGTCAGTAAAGCCGGGGCTTCACCTCTTAACATTCACATGTCATTTATAGAATTGGAGCCTGTTTGGAAGAACCAACCAGAAAACCTCACGCCTCGCAAAAATCTAAATTCTAAAGATATGAATATATAAAACGTCACATGATAGCTAACATCTTCATGTTATCACTAATGTAACAGTTTAGCACGTGAGCCTTGGCTAGAAAAAATTCCACCTGCAGCGCTGAGCTTAAATGGGTTGCAAGAAAAAAATTGCTTGTTGCTAATGTTGCAGTTTTATCCAATAACCAGACAAAGCGAACCTCCAGTTTAACCCATAATCGGTAACCCTAACTAGTGATGTGCGGATCGATCCTGAAATATCGATTCCTCCGATACCGATCATTTATGTTCTAGAATAAATTCTCACATCAAAATATCGATATTTTAGTAATTTAGGGTAAATTTGTAGTTTATCATTAACAGGAACACAGTGGAAAGAAACTATAACATTCGGATTGTCTACATTCAAAGGAACTACTTCCTCTTCCGCCTTTTATAGTCACGGGCGAAATACAGCTGTATAAATGTCTCGCAGCCCCTTGGCGTGCGCGCTCACAACAATGGCTGAGCGTAGTCGGAGTCATGTGCGGACGTATTTTACCTCCACAAACAGCTGAGACGTGGTTTCGATACATGTGGCAAAAAAAGTGAAGTGTTGTGGCCATACTTGCCAACCTTGAGACCTCAGAATTAGGGAGACAATTCAAAAGGGCTGTTGGGGGGGTGATAAATACATTTTTCAGGGTTTATTTATCGGATAAAATACGTTAAATGTCACCGTTATTATTGGCCGGCCCGGAAACAGCGGAGGTGTCCAAATTCAGAGGCTGCTTCCACCTGAGGACCCGGCCTTTGCGGTCTAAAGAAAGCCGGGTAGTACGTCACGAGCTCCCTCGGTGGAGAGAAACTCTGCCATCTGCTCCTTGCTATCTAAAATATAACCGGGCACTGACGTAAACTCTCAACCGTCTCACACTTTCTTTAATTAGTTTTATTCAGCTGTGTGAAAACCTGGAGGAACCCTCCCGAGGGATTAATAAAGTTACATTTAATCTAATCTAATAACTTTAATCTCAGCCAAACCGATTTAATCACGAACAAATAAAACACTGAAAAGTAATATTAAAACTAAGTCTCTGCCGCCATTGTTGGAAACTGGAATTGGCTGGTTCTCACCATTTAAATCTATTTACTGAACTATTCGGTTTTCTGCATCAAATAAGAAGGTACACACATTATTTGTGACAGTCCAACAAACTAGTTTCTGTCCACTATGCCCGCCTGCTTTCTCTCGCGAGCGTCACCTCCCCCTCTCCCTAAACAACCAAATGCCACATGTTGCCATATCATCTTTTGTTTGGTTGACATGGCACAATTTAACACCAATAGGGAAGGGAAGGGGTGTTTTTTCTTTTTCCTCTCGCTGTAAACACCACTGTTTTGTTCAGAAAAAAACATTGCATGCATTTTTGATCATAACTCTGGTTTTACATGGCCTATCCACACAATTTAAAAACTGGTATATAGTTTGAAGTCCACCCTTTCGACCCAAGTTGAACTGGAGACTCTGGGTTGTTGCATCTTGTAGCTATGTCGTCTTAAATTGGTCATGTGATTTTGACGCGTCGGCGCGTCCGTCAACCCCAGAGGGTTAAAAGGACCTGTTGTCTTAGAACCGATAGCAAAGTTGCTAATAAAGGACTGAACGGATGAGCGTTTTACATGTTCAGGATAAGGTGTTCACTAATAAGGGCCTAAAGGAGACTACACAGGTTCACGTACATGTGACGCAGGAGCTTAAAGGTGGTGAAGTCATGTGTATTTTAATTATTTTAATTGCAGTTATTCAACAGGAGTCATCAATGTAATTCGTTTGTAAGTCAGTCTGAGAGATCTATAAGATCTATAAGGTGTCTCCTTCTTTCTTACAAGCCTTTCGTTTTCCAAGTTAAACTATGCTAATGCTAATGCTAATGCCCAAATCTGATTAGTGTGTAGCTGTGTCACAGCTTTGGCATTATCAATCCATCCAACATTTACAGATGTTTGTGATGGAGTTTACAGTTTACCTGATGATTCATCAAATCCACTGTACACGAAGCCAGGAGGGACTGTCTGCAGCCAGACACTGTTTAGGAAACCTGAAATCATGATTTTTATTGCTGTTGAAATGCGATTCTGGGCCACACACTCATTTTTAGTTGTCAGGTGTAGCTGTGGTTATGACATGACCCCATTTAGAACACACTGGCTGTTTAACTGCTTGAGTTTTACACAGAAAACCTCTCAAAACGTTCATTTTGTCCTCGTCCAGTCGCCGTTCTCTCAGCTTGCCGAGCCTCAGCGTGACGCTGTGCCAAATACCAGAGAGTGCACGTCAATCAGCACAGGACTGCTTTCTCTTTTAGCCTCTCTGTGTGGAAATGTGTGCGTGCTAACAGAAATTTTGGGGATTCTTTGAGGATATAAGCTGTTGTTGTGGAACTAAATCAGCCCTTCATCTCCTATAACCTGTGCATGCTTGGAGTATTTATTACTGAATGCTTTTATACAGACTGTAGCCTCAGTTAGCAGGCGAGCTAACTGAGTAGCACTATGTAAATAAACAGTATGGGTTTTAATTGGAAGGTAACCCATCAGCCAGTCTAGGTTTGTCACTGAGATGTAACTGCAGTCACCTCGGTGCCAAAAACGCACTGCAGGTCTTTAATAAGGAGATCAGGTGACACGTTTGGACTGAGAGCCAATCAGAGTGTACAGGTAAGGTCAGGTGAGGTCAGGCTCAGAGGTGGGGGAGGAAAGGAGGGTCTTGTAGTGCTGCATTCATGTCATATTTCACAAATGTTATTAGTCGCATCATCGACTGTGTCACTGCAGAGGTGGTCGTTTAAGGCTTAGATGTACGTTTGTCGACAGCGTCACAACATTTGTTAAATATAGAACTTTATTCAGCGCGGGTTTCATTGTCTGTATTTTCACACAAAAAATCAGAAACGTGTCGTAAACCAACACAAATACTTCCAGTATGACATGAATGCAGCACGAGGTCCCGTCCATCCCATTCGCACCTTCATTCCGCCCACTCTGTATGTAGCATGCCTGTTTACTAATCACATTATGCAAAAAAATAAATTGTAAACTAAAAAGGAAAAAAAAGGCCTGGCTCGTTATCAGTACGAATGCTAGCTTTGCTGATTCCCGCTGTGGTGGTGTACTCTTACACGGTTTCATACGGACTTTGCTTGCGCTACCTCTCAAAGCTGCCTACCCTGTTTTATTAACCAACCGCACATCACACGGTGTCACCGATTTCTAAGTGACTGTTAAATCTTTGTGCTTCTGTTCCTGTGAGAGTTTCACTGCAGCCGTTGTAATTACGATATCTACATGCAGGGTTTTGATTGTGAACATATTTCCACAAATCTATAAGTTTCTTCATTTGTCCAGCAGCACAACTCGTGTAAATAGAAAAATCTCTACAACATACATTTAAACAGGAAACTGTGTTATAAGAATCAAGCTGTCTTACACTGAGAAATGAAAAGCTCTGAGGAAGATTTTGGTAACCAGCATTTATCATCTTTAAAGAAACAATTAGTAAAATAGTCTTGTTTTCTAATTTAGAAAATATTTTTTTAAGAAGATGCCATACTAGCTGTTTTATGTTCATCTTTTTGAAATCTTTCTTATGCCTCCTCCGGCTAAAACCCACTGTCTTCTGATTGGCCAGATTCTGGAAGCCTGCTGAGGGTCAGCAGCAAGCTACACTCGCCTCACTTTGGGGTGTTTTTTGGCTGTGCCCAGCACGATGTCATAATATAATAAATGTAAAAGTTTTCGGGTAATATTTGATGACATGAATGACCCCAAAGTTCAAACTCTGAAAACAATCCAGTAAAAGATGATCTCAGAACATCTGAAACGTGCCTTAAATTCTGCGCTTTTAGTTGCAATCCCATGATATCGTAACATAAATACATTTAAATAAAAGTCAACACAATGTTGAAAACATCCATAAGCATAAATTTACAGAAAATGAGTCTGCAGTGAGTAGATAGCTAGGTTCTTCAGTCGGGAAGCTAACATTTTATTTGACAATGCAAAGTGTGGGAGGCTGGCATGCTAGCTAACAAATCTAGATACTAAAGAATGCTTGAAAATATATAAATTTGCTTTTCATTTAGAAAATTTGCGATTTGTTTGAAATTTACTTAAATAAATGTTTCTAAAATACTTTTGGATTTGCTTAGCTTAGCACAAAAGCTTTGCATGCTTTAAATGAAACCACAATGATGTTTAATATGATCAAGTGACTCTGTGACACTATATACTGACAGAAAATAACTCTTACTATGAACAGACAGAGAATTGTTCTTCAGTGGGGTTTTTAGGCACAATGTTTAATTAAATACAAGGAAGCTAACATTCGCATTGCTAGCTAAATAGTTAATTCTGACACGAAACTATAATGTGTGAAAATATTTAAATCGAACTGCTTCGTGGTGACGGTGTCTGGTTCTTCATAGAGAAAT